CTGCGGAATTCTGGGAGTTGAAGTCCACTCATCTTAAAGTAGCCAAGTTTGGACAACACTGCTTTAGGGCCTTGTCAACTGTCTTTTCCTAGCATGTTCCAGAGGTAAGAAGCAGGAAGATCTATTCCTTTGTGTCCTCCAAGCTGGCCAGCTTCAGAGAAAATCTCTGCTGCTGACCTTAAAGAACTGATTGTTATGATGTTACAAGCAGAGATGATTTTTCAAATAACTTTCCCTCACATTGGTTAAAGAATTAAAGGTTAAGCAGTATTTTAAATATAGCTTGGAAACATGGTGCAGCTGGCACAACACAGGTATCACGTAATCCAACTGTTTTCCTCCCAGCAACATCCAGATGGTTGCATTCTGCACCAACTGAAATTTCTGAATAATCATTAACAGCAGCCCCACAGAGTGTATTATTGTCATTTTCACTGGATGTCACTTGTGCTCACCTAGCTGGGCCAACTTCTAATTACTCCAGATAGAATCATAACTGGTTTACCAGCTTAAATTGTGAAAAAATACTGTTGGCCACTACTGCTCCTGGGTTTCTTCAATAAAGAGTAAGTCCAGAATTCCCAAACTATATATATGATCCTTCACCAGAAATGCAACCTCATACAATAATTCTATTAGATCTTCATCCTGAGCAGTTGATTTTGCTACCCCCAAAATAAAACAAATGGACCTCTTCTTTTTATCAACTTTCAACCAATTTGTCCATATGCATTCCAATACGCCCTCCATTGGGGTCAGGAGAACTAAGTGACTTGCATAGTGATGAAACTTCATCCAAAGCATATCATGGAGCTATGGTTTTGAGATCCATAAAGAAAATGCAATTGGCACTGAGTTAATCCACTAAATTAATCCACTAAATGGATCTAGTTCATTTTAGGAGCCCTCCAAATACTTAAGGGAAAAACAGTAATCCTTTCCCTGTCTTTTATTTTTGACAGTAAAATCAACAACTCTAATCCATGTCTATGGGAAATAACAGCACATCCTTTTCCTCTGGCCTCACTGAACTGATCAATTACCTCTGTCCCCAACTCTCCCTCCTGTAAATAGGATCCAGGAATATGGCAGAGATACAGTATGGATGGAAGAGGATGCTACGAAAGCATCAAAGAAGAAGAGAGCATCTCATTGATAAGCCATTAAAGGTTTAGTTACTAATGGAGAAGCAGATTTCTGCACGTGCAGCCAACTGCTTTATAGAACTACATGGTTATTTTTAGAAATGTGACATGATACACCTGCATGAACTTTTGTAGTATCATGTTTACTGGGCCCATGAAAATCTAAGAGGGATACTACATTTTGTTTGGCTGCACATGAGCGTGCATATGTAATGTGTCCATATTTGAACATGTTCACTATGTATTGATCCACAAATGGTACAAATTCATCTTAAAGAAAACAGCAAAGATTGCTGTAGGAATTATTGTTATATTCTACTCTTTAGGTAATATATTTGTATGCATCTGCAATAGTATATTCCTGCAAAACTGAAAAGTATTACTATGTTTAACCCAAACTAGTATACATTTGGTCCTTTTCTGAAAAGGGTATCATTCCTATGCAAAATAAATTCTGCCATCCCATTTTAATTTTCAAAAAAGTCTGCGAATATATTTTTCTGATCTTGCAAAATCACCCATAAGGCCTACTGTCAAACATATAGGCGTTTTGCTTCCTGAGATTGCCACTTACTCCAAGAAGAAGTGAAGACAGATGAGCAGACCTAGCACTGCCTAGTCAAAACCAGATATAAGATAAAACTTATGCCTGAGCAAATTATAAATAAACATAAAACTGACTGATTTCCATATATATTAAAATTATTTTACTTGTACTAAAATAATTCTATCTGGACTTGGGGGGAGGGTATTCATAAATAATTTAGTTTCCTTTCTTGTGATTTAATTCACAATTAGGATGTAAATCCCTAAAATCAAGCTTTGCTCTTGGTGACCTCCTGGGTATGTCCCATATGGAAGTGGTTTGCCATCTATTACAATGAAATATGAAGTTTTTCCATATCCATCTGGAAGAATTACTTTTCTTCTTAGAAGATATTAAAATGGATGGAAACTTAAGTGTGTTCTTATTCTTCAATGAATAGTTCTCTACTATAATTTGCTTGCAGGTCAACAAACATAGTTTGAAAAAATCCAAATAGCTTTATATGGCACATGTGCAGAGCAATGTTTTTTACAAAATTTCTTCCTGCTCAGCACGTATTTAAATCTAGGAGAACAAGTAAGATGTTCTGTTAATTTTATCTTTAAAATCACAATGGAAGCTTGCTTCCTACCAGCTAACTCTTCCTTTGGTACATCAGATGTACGTAAGCCTTTTGTGGCTGTTTTTTCAATTTGGTGTAACTTCCCTACACAACACTGTATACCTGCATCACTCCCTATTATTGTTTATGTCATGTAATTGAAGGGAAAACGATGCTCCATTATAAAACATTTATAGCAGCATTTCACACATTAGCACTTGAACTTTTTTTGAAGATGCACTATTTTTTTTATGCTAGGCTGTTGTTGTTGCTTTTAATACACTTTTGACTATTTACCAAAAATTATCCTTTGCTGAGCTAATTAATCCTGGTAATTCTTTGCTTCTCTTCACTCCCCTTGAATAATAGGAAAGCCAACTATGTTTTGCTGAATATGAATGCACCTTCAACAACCTCTTGCTCTTCCCTTGTAATGCGGAAGTGTGGAAGTCCAGAGAAAATGCTGACACAGTAATAGCCTATCTGCCAAGATTGAAAAGAAGAGGGGATAGGAGGGAGAGGCAAACAAACATCAGGTGGAATGGTCCCTGATGGGTTTTCAGACAAGTGTTACACATCCTAATGCTGAGTGTTTTCTGAAGTGTCCTAAGGATTGGTGCAATTAGAGAGTTATGGCTAAAGGCAGACTTTCAGGAAAAAAAGCAAGAAAGGAAAGCTTTAATATTTACTTATGCAAAGCAATGCTCTTGAAAAAACTCTAGGACAGTAAGTAGCAGCTGAGATTTTGTTGTTTCTTTGGGGTATGTTAATCATTCACAATTTTCAAAAGTGAAGAGATGCATTTACCAAGCTAAAGAAGGGAAGCATTCACTATGCAGTTTTTGTGCAAATCACTCTCTCTCCCCCCCTTTTTTTTTGCAACATAGTAAATACGAAGGCAATAGGTTTCCTTTGCCCCATCTTGTAAAGATCCCTGATCTTTAAAACTGTCCACTTTTAAAGGCTTCTGACAATCAAGTTTTCAGTGTACTTAGTAAAATATATGCATTTATCTGCTGGAATCCAGCAAATGCCATTCAGCCTTTATAATAATTTATATAATACTTTTAAACAGACACTATTAATGTCTTATATGTTCATTCATCTCCTAAGTGTTTTGGAGGCATTTACTTTTTTTCCCAGGGGCATATTTCAGGAACATGGTGAGACTTAAGGGTGGTGATCAGACTCCCTTAACAATCCATTTCAGCTGGGGCAGGAAACTACTGCCTTGGGTAAAATGCTGAAGATCACATTCAAAGAGTGGGGTTAGGAAATAAATGGGTACAGTCAGATTAAAAAAAAAAACCCATATATTAATACAGGTAGATCTTGCTTACCAACTGCCTCATGCAGCAACCGTTTGCAGCGTCCCTCAGTCATGTGATCGCCATTACAGTCGGTATGCATTTTCCTGTGCCTGACCCATTGTTTTTCTCCCCCCACCCCCCGTCTTGCAGAGTGGAAAGATTGGAGAAGAAGGGATTACAAGAGAGTAAGCAGGAACACAGTGGGGAATATGCATCAAAAGCAATGCCCTGGTCCCAGCAGTCCCAAGCATGCTATGGAAACATCCAGTGTATTCTCCGTTGTGTGCCTGCTTACTCTCTTGTAATCCCTTCCTCTAATCTCCCTGCTCTGTGAGGGGGGAAGGAAGAAATAAATGGATCAGGCACAGGAGAGACTGCCTAAAGAGATTGCGCTTTTTTTTTTTCTTTTTTCTTCCCCCACCCCTCACTTGTTTAAGCAGTCTCTCCTGTCTGCGGGGGGGGGGGGGGGGGGGGAATAGCTATGATATGTATGTGTGTTCGTGTGCATGTTTAGAACTTGGAAAGAAGAACACATTGCAATTTAAAATGTAAAAGGTAAATGGATCAATGGCAAATGTATCAACGTCAGAAAAGCTCTGCATTTCAACTTTATTCCAAGTTCTTCAACAATTCTTAACTTCATATCATTTGGAAATGTTGTATTTGTCATTTTTGTTCTTAACCCTGTTTTCAAATGGTTTGCTACCAAAATATAGTTGCATGCCTGTGCCCCGTGGCCTAAGAATCAAGGTGGAATTTTATGGCTAAGGTCGAATTGTAACTTTCATTTTCTCTGGTCAAGAGCTGCAGCCTTTTGCCAAGATCAGGCAATACAAACTTCCTTCTCAAAAACTTTGGAAATTTATGACTATGGCCCTCAGACACTTTAGCACTTAATTCCCAAATAATCAGACTGAATGAAGACGTAATTGAGTGCTGCTGCTGCTATGAGATTCAAAATATTCTAGTCCAGCATAGGCAATCATTTAAGGCTATTGGGCATATTATGAAGTTCAGAAGCATGTGGTCAACACATCTACAAAACAAGGTAGTGACAACATGGCTGCCACAGCAGGGCTAGCCAGTAATCAAATATTTAATTACCAAAATTGCTGAGGTTCCTCCCCCTGTCAATAATAATATTAAAAAAAATTATAAAAATAAAACTCAGTCCCCCAGATGAGCTCTATTTCCCCATTTTACTTTTTTTTTTTTAATTAATTTCTTGGTAGCTGAACAGACTTCCAAGTTTGGGTGTAGCATCTTATCATTTTTATTTTCTAAGAATACCGTGTGGCCAAGGCAGGTGGGAAAAGGATACTAAGGTTTATTATTTATCTTGCAGCATATCAGCATCTCATTTCATTTTTTAAAATGTAAATGAAACTTTTTATTAAATGAAAAAAAAGCCAGCCTTGTGAGAATAAGAAAAGTGTCTGCGGGTTTATTTGTGCCCAAGGCACCATATTGCCTGTGCAAATACGAGATTTCAGTAACTTGATTCAATATGAGCCTGTTCATACCTAGGAAGCTGGAGGCAGTTTACAGAGTCCGGATATTGTAGTGATCCATTGTTCTCCATTCCAAACACAGTACAGTCACTGGCAAAGTATTGCCAGTCTTCCCAACCAATGTCAGGTTGCCTTTTTCTTTGTATTCGGATTGCTTCAGGTAGAGGGCTGAAGAACTGGATTATAACATAAAATACCTACAAACCAACAGCAAAATATGAAGTAATTTGGAAGAGTTCTGTGGAATAAGAAAGTTGGAAGAGCTCTTTAAGGTCATAAAGTCCAACCCTCTACTCAGTGCAGGATCCCCTAACAGCATGTCTGACTTGACCATTAATTCTGTGTTGTTGTAAGTCCTCCAGTGAAGGAGAGATCAACACTTCACATGGCAGCCTGTTCCACTGGCTGACAGCTTGTACAGTCAGGAAATTCTTACTGATGTCCATCCTGAAGCTACTTCCTTCTAATTTTAACTCACTGGTTCTGGTCCTGCTCCCCTGGGGCAACAGAGAATAAATCTACTCCCTCTTCTGTGTGACATACCTTCAGATATTTAAAGATTGCTATCATGTCTCCTCTCAAATGTCTTTTCTCTGAGCTAAACATATCCATGAACTGTTTGTCACAGGGCTCGGCTTCCAGATTTCTCACCATTCTGATAGCTCTCCTTGGTAACTCTTTTCTGAATTTGCTCCAATTTGTCACTGTTCTTTTTGAACTGTGTTACTCACAGTTCACATCTATACCTGTTCCATGTTGACTCTTTATGCACCTAAAGCAGATCTAAGTACAGTTGGGTTTAGGAACAATCTTACAAAGAGTTAGAGCGCCAGTTCATCTAATTCAGTATTTTTTTTTCCCCAGAGGTTTAGCGCATGCCCACAAGGCCAATGGTCATGGCAATGGGAGTGGTAGGCCAAAGGACTTGGAGGGACCCAGCAGCTCTTTATAGTCTTCCACGAAGATGCCAGGGATTAAATGTGGGATTTAAAAACATGCACAATTCTAACAGTAAACTGTAATCCTACCAGTATTTAGTTAGATGTAATCAATTTGTTCCATTGGCTATAGTGTATTTAATTATACTAGCTTTTAATTACATTGTACACAGTAATTGTTCAATGTTTCATTAAAAAGATTCAAGTCTTAATTCAAAAAGTGCTATTTTTTTTTAAATGTAACAATGAAAAATTATAAAAAATGTAATATATATTCCCAGATTTTTTAAAATCCTTATTCCATTTACAGAAGAAAGAAAGAAAGAAAGAAAGAAAGAAAGAAAGAAAGAAAGAAAGAAAGAAAGAAAGAAAAGAAAAAAGAAAAAAATTCCAAAAAACAGAACTCTAAACAAACCTTTTTTTAGTAAGCCATTCTGACAGTGTAGAAAGCATTTCAACAAATGAGTCAGGTAAACCAAGAAAATATCCTGAATTTTTTTTCCACATATGTGACAGTGAAAATAAAATTCCTTTATTCCTCTTGGACTTTCTAACTGGATGTATATACCTCTTGTTTAGGAACTAGGATAATTCTAGAAAAGAATGTATTTTTAATGTATCCTTGCAAACATATAAGTTTGGATGACCTCATCAGTCCTGCAATTTTGTAAAATAAAGATGCTGCAGGACTAATGAATGGAACATGTCTTTTACTATCCTGAAAAAAATACATTTCCATAGCATGCAACTCATCCAGGTAGTCTGCAACTCATGCTACCTCATCCAGGTAGTCTGGATTCAGGTAACTGATACTGGACAACAGCACCAGTAGAGGAACTTATGTAATTTTAAAGGCTATGCTTATTTACCAAACTGCTACAGTCTGTGATTTTAATGGGAAAATCAGATCTTTGACCATCTGTAGTTGGTAGAAAGCATCATGCTTATGGAGTCATAGGAAGTGGAAATAAAGAACCATCACAAATGGAGGTTTTGTTATCATATGTGCTGAACATAATAATGTCCTATTATGTGTTCCTTGAACAATTTTATGGAGATGTTTTGTAACAAGAAGTAGTTCCAGGTAGGATAGAGAGAACAGAAGAGATGACATCAGTTGTAACAGAAGAAGCAAGTTTCATAGGCTACCATAGAAAAACTTTCACTGAAGTTAACTACCAACAAAGGATCCAAGTGCAGGTAGAACCAAAGCAGGAGGTTCCCCAGCTGTCTTTCTCCATCACATTTCTACTCATATGTTCAGTTATCATAGCTGAACTCTAGTGCTTTATATTCTTGAGCACTTATCACACATTATGCTATTACTCTATGCTCAGTCTACCTTCTTGCATAACGATTGGGTTCTTTTTATTAAAACAGAGGAAATGTTTTTTTCATATTTCACAAGCCATGATCTAATATGCCTTTTTATACAAAACAAAACAAAACAAACAAACAAACAAAAAAACCCACAACCAAAGACAAAGACAAGTTGATCCCCAATGGACTCCCATAACAGAAGCTAAACAATCCAGATTCTAAAATGTACATTATTTTTTGACAAAGTGGTTTGTCAAAACTGTTTGTGAAGCAAAGCAGCCCCTTCTCCTCTAAGAGCAAGAGGGATGTGCTGGTTTCTTTTGCATGTTATACCTGCCTCCTCCAGCACAGAAGCTTCTTCCAGGCTTTGGAACTGCCAACTGAGGCTTTGAGGTGACATGAAAATCTTTGTCAAAGCAAAAAGCCCTGCTTTTTCACTTTCATAAGGACAATTGCAGTGGCTCCACGTCTACCTTTTTGTATCTTATCCATCACTACAAGATTTCTAAACTGTGTCTGGAGAAACCCAGAATTCTTCAAAAACTTATCATACCCCTTCAGTGAACCTGCAGACAGGTTTCCATGAATAACTGATTGTCTATCAGCATTAATCTGCTGTGCTACACATAGCCATATGTTGAGCATCAGGGCTGCATCCCACGTGATCCAAGCGTGCATGCAAGAAATTCTCAGAATTCTGAGATAGGAATTGCTGAAATAAGCAGGAATTCTTCAAAGAGCTAACTGTTGTGAAAAAATCTTTAGAGTATCTAAAAACCATTTGAATTACTGAAATCTTACATTTAAAGAATGGGAGACAGAAAGACATGAAAAAGGCCCATGTTTACTTTTTTGGTTTGTGTGTCTGTGTACCTTGACTCCTGGCGACTACACAGACAAGTTCATGCAATTTTCTTGGTAAAATTTTTCAAAAGTGGCTTGTCGTTGCCTAGGCTGGCATGAAGTCACCAGCTGGCTTCATTCTTAAAGCAGGACTAAAACTCATGGTGTTTTATTTCTAGCCCAGTGCCTTTAGCTGTTACACCAAACTGGCTGTCATGTGTTTATTTAGCTCCCCTCAAAATAAACTAGCTGATATCAAAATAATTAAGCTCAAATATATTTTATAATTGATTCTTATTTTATTTGAAATATCCTTGAATTTTTCGTTAATCAATGAAAACAAGATAAGCAAATCAGTTTCCATTTCTGGAAATCAGACATCAAGAGGAGATAAGAAAGAAAGAATTTTAAAGAAACTTTAAAATTACCTGGTACTCTCCATTTTCTAAGTCAATGGTGATGGTTACTCCATGACGTAGATGTTCAGTGGTGCTAAATATAGATGAAATCCATGAAGTTCCAATATCATTATCATTGATATAGCTTAAAGGGTGAGCTTCAGGGTTTAGTCTGAGCACTCTGTCATTAGTTGTGTCATCTGCACCATTAGGAATGCAGTACCTCTGAACCAAAGGATGTACCCTTGGGTGACTTCCAGGACAGCGACATTCTGATTGAATATGGAGTTGAGGAAATTTTCCAGACCATATTTCAAAAATGTCTCTAGAATAATAGAAATAAATAAGAAATCAGTAAGGCACATCACAAAGAAATGAGCAAGGATAATTTTTAAATCCCTAGATACAAGATTGTGCACAAATGTCCTATCCAAGGACTTGCAGATAAAACCATCAGATTGGTAGGCACAAAAGACACAGTCTTCTCAATATGGCCCTATTTTTACAGAAGGGTTTTCTAATGGAAGGTACTTGGTCCCCACTCCTACTGTTTTTAAACAGGCTTTAAAAATCTGCTTTTAACTGAAAAGTATAGGTACCATTGGTTAACAACAGTAATTGGGACCGGAATTTCCATTGCTAAGCAAAGCGTTGTAAAGCACGATGTCACATGACCACATTGCTTAGCGATGGCAATGTTGGCACTCCCCATTGCTGTCAATAAGCAAGGATTGTGGGCTGTTAAGCAAGTCCCAGGTAGCTCGCAATGAGGCCAGCAGGTAGGTAAGGTGTGGCGCATAACATGAGTATGGCGGGGCCAGAGGTATCTGGTGCTGGGTGGAGGAAAGTGCATTAGCTGCCCAAGAGGCATGGCGTGAGTATGGCAGGGTACGGTTGCTGCTGGGCAGGAGAGGGGGCGAGTGACTTACCAAAGCAACTTGCAACCTTCCCTGCCAGCTTCCCCATTGACTTTGCTTGTGGGAAGCCGGCAGGGAAGGCTGCAAATGGCAATCACATGACCGAGGGATGCTGCACTGTCATAAGTGCTAGTGAGTTGCCAAGCTCCCAGTTCACAATCACATGACTGCGGGGGTGCTATGATGGGTGGAACTTTGAAGAATGGTTGTAAATCTCTTTTTCCAGCACCGTCATAACTTCGAATGGTCACTGAATGAATGGTCATTAAGCAAGAACAACCTATAATTTCAATGTTATTGTGCAAACAATCATTTTAACTGTAGCTGTCCTTTATTATATTTGTTAGTTTGCACTGAAAAATAATTTGTGTGCTGCTGTTTCACTCAACTGTATTTTAGGTTTGTTGCTTATTAAGTTATTAATTTATTTATGCACTATTTTGACAAGTCTTATTTTCCAAAGAGCAGCACAGAAAAAATTAAACCTCCAATATCTAAAACAGGTAGATAAAGTCTGTTATATGAATGCAACAGAATTTGTGGATAAAAAGACTTAAAATAGGAACGAAGATAACTTTTGTTATCAATTTGCTGTTGCTATGAGTCACTAATCTTTGGAGCCTGAAAAATTAATATTTTCAGTAATGAAATCCAACAACCTGCACAAGCAGTAATGGCACACAGAATAATCCCTTCAAAGGCATTTCGGTCCTTTTATGACTTTTTCATGCTGTATGGTCTTCAAAACACCACACCAAAGCATTATGGAAAATACTTTGTACGTCTACATGTACTCTATCTCATCTAACCTATTTCTTCTGCTTGGTGAAATATAGCACTTTTGACTGAGAGGGAAGGAAGAACTGCAGAAAGTTTTTGAGACAAACATAGGTTTCCCGTGTTGTGCAACAGCTTGGGGTGTTCCCAGTGTTTCAGTGTGCATGCTATAGGCGAGATGCCATAAAGAAATCAATTATGCCTTAGGAAAATCTCACAACGTATGGATATTGTGCCATTGGTGGACAAGGGGTTTTTGTTCATTTAATTTCTTGTTTAATATCTTGAAATTACAGCAGCCTGAATCCATGCAACTAATTAAAAGCCTTGTTTGCATTCAGGTTGCATGAAGTTACAGTTACACATCTAATCATTAAAAAAAACAAAAAAAAAAAGACCAAGAAACCAACTTCTCATAGCTATCTCTTTTCTATCTTGATCATTGCATTTTTAAGTTTTGTAAAATTGAGAATGTCCCTACCTGTTTGTAAGTGCCATTTGGTACAATCTGAAATCTTGCATCCTCCCAACAAATTGCTCTGAACCTGCAAAAATACATTATAAATAAATAATCCAGTTCCATCAACCAGAAAACAACTCTGTGCTGCTTGAGGAGATCTTAAATTCAGCACACCGAGCTCTCTCTTGCACAGTTGCCTTTTCTGAATGAAACCATCTTGGTTCCAGACAAAACTATGGAAGGCTGTAACTTAATTTTTTTTATTAAAATGATTTATAATAACTTTATGGGAATATTCTGTACCTATCCCTTATCTGATTACAGAGGTGGCAGAAAAACTGGCTCATTAGACAGAAGTAATGAGCCAGTTCACGCGCCATCTCTAATTAGAGAAGAGATATACTGGAGACAACTGTAGCTATCACTTTATGTGATAAAGATGAAAGGTTTATTTTTAAGACTTCTTTCTCTCTTGCACAATTGTTCTGTATCTGGTATTCAAAATGACAGTGCCAACCACAAGCACTTTGAAACGAGAAAACTTTCAAGTTTTGATGTATAGGAGCTCAGTGGTTTTTGAGAATAAATCAAACTTTCTTCAGGCCAGATGCAGATATATTTAGGACTCAGCTCCAAATTACAGTATGTTCTGGATCAGTGATACTCAGCCTTAATAAATCTGCAGAACCAATTCATCACCAAACAGAATTTCAGGGAGCTGCAAAATCACTGAAACCTTATATTGACAGCCATGTTCAGAAAATGGTGGGGGGGGGGGAATCAATCTCGGCATCACCAAATATTCACTCAGGATTATTTCAATACATTGGTATTTTTGAGATACGTTTTTTTCTTCTTACCCCTTTTCCTTAGCTTACTAAATGAAACTTTCCCAGAATTTTTAATATTGTGTTTTTAACTGACAAAGGAACTTAAATATCTTATTGCAGAAACAGAACTAAAGACATTATTATTATTACTATTACTATTACTATTACTATTATTATTATTGATTCGATTTATTCTCTGCCCATATCCCCCAATGGGGAACTCTGGGCAGCTCACAAAGTATACAATTCTAATACAATTTTTAACAGTGACGAACAATATTTAACAGTAACTACAGTGATATATTACACTACATGACCAGCAGTGATCGCTAGGGAGTCACAGCACATCCAGGCTTTTTCCACCCCTGTAGATCTTTCCTCGCTGCTCGCGTTGATCATCACTTGCGACAGTTGTGTTCGGAGTCCGGTCCAGCCCCGGTATGTTGCTCCCTGTGCAGCACCACCGGTTCCTCCCACTGAAATGGGAGTCCCCATTTATCTACTCGCAGATGGAATTGCTTTCGAACTGCTGGGTGGGCAGGAGCTGGGACAAGTGATGGGAGCTCACTCCGTCCCGTGGAGCCGGGCCCGAACCACTGGAGTGCCAACCATTTCTGACTGGCAAATGCCAGCATCATTAAGCCCTGTGCCACCGCATATACAATTCCAATCCAAACACTTGGGGTAGAAGAGGGGATGAAGGTCTAGGTTTTAGATGACCAAAATCACACAGGTGATATGATTTTATTTCTATATTGTATTATTTATCCTCCAACAAACTTGTAGTACTAATTTAATCACATGTAAGGAAGATACTAGTATTCAAAACCAATGGATTGTATTCAGTGTTGGCTTTCCAATAGTGACATAATTGTCCATGGAAGGGTGGCATGCTTGTTCTTTCCAACCTTGTACATTCCTTAAATCTGACATCCAAGCAACTCTCCGTGTAGACTCTTGATAGTCTTGAGCAAGCTCTACTTGATCTTAGTGAAAAGAGATGAATTACTGAGTTACATTACTATGCTATTGATGGCTATTAGTGGGAAAAGTAGTTTAGCCAACTATAGTTATATTAAAGGAATACTATGAACAGAGTACTTGTACCATGAGCAGTGAGTAAACTGTATGAGTACAGTGAGTACACTGTATGATTATGCTATTAAAAGGCTGCATGTTTAAGCATTATGACTTGAAAACATTCTGACTTGAAGTTTAAAAAAGTGTAGGGTCCAGATACCTAAATCTCTATCATCTGTCTATAGTAGCTCACACAATAGAGGGACTAATCTGCTTTTTTTTATCACAATATTGCTGCAGGTGGCCAGTATGAGTGAAATTCTCCCTTTTCATCCAACATATCATATTTTGCATGATTTATCTATTTGAACAATTTGTTGCTTTTGTACAGGACAAGGCACTCAGAAACTATCCTGGCTGATTGACTCCTTCCCAATTGTACTACCAGCTTGCCTTCAGGTAGTCAAAACTAGGAACAGGCCACACATAGTAATCTGTTTAGGATTACTTGTATCAGCGCTTCTAAATTACAGTGCCAATATCTATAAAACAGAGATAAAGAAGATAAATAAAGCATTTATACATCTATAGAAAAATGTGTGGGAGAAAACAGATGATGATGATGATGATGATGATAGCTTGTTAAGTTGTACATTGCCATGCAATCTTTCTTTCTTTCTTTCTTTCTTTTCATTAAATATCTATCCATTCAAGACATTCCATCAAAAAGACTTACCATTTAAGTTTTGCCCAATTCGCCATACACCATCAGCAGAGGGATCTGCTATTAGGCCTGTGAGAATTCTGGAATCAAAGGCTGTGTCATCATCTTCCAAACCATTTATAAAGAAACTAATTCTGTTGTGATGAACCTATAAATTGACATGTAGAATGGAAAGTTCTATAAAAAACTTGTCTTAAAATAATGCTACAAGTCTCTGTCAAATTAGCTTGGAATACTGTATCAACAGTTTAAGCATAATCCATTAAAGAACAGCAATACATATTTATTAACCGTTTCTCATTAGAGAAAATTGTACTCACATATGAAAACAGAAAGGTTCTCAATAGTTAAACAAAAAAGGCTGAAAAGTTCATGGAGTAAAATTTAAGAATCTTTTTAGTTCCATGAATATCACAAATAACATTGATACAATTTAACACTAGCATAATGAGGTTGTGTCTGTGCATAGTTATTTCCATCAGTCTTTTGATGATAGCATTAAAAATCTAGGAAACAATATTTATTTATTTATTTATTCATTCATTCATTCATTCATTCATTCATTCATTCATTCATTCATTCATCCTATTTATATAACCACCCATCTCACAGAAAATGACTCTAGGCAGTGCACAATAAAAAATAATCATAAAATCAAAATAT